CATTTCCAGGCACAATGAAGAGGAGAAAGAAATCCTTATGGGTGGCTGAAGACTCTGACCCCAGGGCTAAGCCTCAGCTGATAACAGAAAAGTAGCTGCCAGGTAGGCCCCCAAATGACGTGTAAAGGGCCTTCTCCACAGCCAACCTGTACAACCAGGGTTTTGACTCTTGTTCACTGTTGTATCCCTGGCACCAGAACAGTGCTTGGCATATACTACATATCACCCAACTGAAGACATCATTGAGTAGAAGGCACACCATTACTTTATGTAGCACTAAGAAACCAAAAATGCTGCCAATTAAACCATGACACGATGCTTTCACTCAGCATTTTTATTTTGCAGTTACTGAAGGAGCCCTTGTAGACATGGTTAGTACAGATTTTCATCATAAATCACTCTCGTGCATAAGACAATGGGGAACAGAAGTGAAGTAACTGGGCTAAGGTATTTCTAGACGTTCTCATTCCAAATCTGAGTCCTGTCTCTATGAGAGCGGACAGGACCATCTGTTCTCACATGCTGCTGTCCGCAGACCTCAGAGTGATGCATTTCTCAAAAGAATCCGTAAAAGAAGGAAGTGTCCTATGTGCTGGGCTCTGAAGCCAGCCTTACAACGCTGTGGGTCTGGCTATATCACAAGTGCTGCCAAACATATCGGATTTCCCACCTTCCCCACAACGATCGGTTCTGATTTATTGTGCGCATGCTCTGTGAGCATTGGGGGATTTATTATTGTATTTTTGCTAAACTATTGACATGAGCTCTGCATGTTTTGATGCTGGAACTTTTTTGATGTCTGCAAAGGCAATGACAGTCTCACCAAGAAAGTCACGTGGCCAGCAGCAATCACAAGACGCCATCAATAAAGATACATCTCAATTTCAGGCATTTTGAGTTATGGGAAGGAGATGGTCAAATAATTTTTAAAAACATGATTGGAGGTTCCCCATAAATATTTGTTGAATGAATGAATAGATGAAGTCTAATGAGTGAAAAATGCTTTGACCTCCTTAAAAAGAGGCCTTCAACCCTGGGGATCACACAACAATTCTGAAAAAGCTAAAGTGACTACCAATTAGGCAGCTCTTATTTGGAAATAACAGAAAATGAATCAAAGGGGCCTAAACAATAAGGAAAGATAAGTTAGCTCACATAACAAGAAGTCCTGAAATAGGGCAGATCGAGTGTTGGTTGACCCACTGACAACTCAGAAAGAAGGGCCAACGCCTCTCACCATCTTTCTGCTCGGTTACCCTTGGCACTCCGGCTTGGTCCTCAGGCCAGCTGCCCTCATGGTTTCAAGTTGGCTTAGTTCTAGATGTCATATCCGGGCATGAAATGTCCAGCGGAAGTAAAGGGATTGTATCTTCCCTATGCCCTTTTAAACGTGAGAAAACCTGTCCCAAGCACCCCCAGCAGACTTCTCATCTCACTGGCTAGCCTGGGTCCCATGCCCACACCTAAAGCAATGTCCAGAGGAGAGGAGCAACCCAGAACTGGAGAAGAGCTGTGAGAGCATCTCTCCTCACACCGTCCTTTTACAAAGGGGAGGTTGGATAGCTTGCTTCTCTCTGTTTAATCACTGGCACGACAGGACCACCAGGACTCGATTCCCAGCGCAGGACATTCCCATTGGCTGCTCTCTCCCCCACCCACCAGAGGACTCCTCTGTTCCAGAGGACACTGGCCTGGGAACGCCCTCAGGGCAGGGCAAAGGATTATGAAGGTCAAGAGACTGCAGCCTAAAAGTGGTTGGAGGCAGCAAGAAAACACCTGGTTGTTTTGCAAAGTCCTTAGGACGGGAGGCCCGGATCCTCAGGCCCTGCTATGTTGGACTAACCAGACCTCCAGACAGGAAGAATTCTCTGGAAACTGTCAGTTACCAAGCAGCTGAGTCATCCCGTAAGAACTCATAATAGAAAAGATCTTGGTGGAGATTCTATAACATAGAGGAACTCAATATTCTTGTGGAAGAAAGGAAGGGAGCAAGGGAAGGAGGGAGGGAGGGATAAAAGGAAGGGAGGGAGAAAGAAGGGAAGGAGGAAACTAATTTAAAAGGTTCATAAAATAATTTACATATTAACATGTAATTATTTGGGTACTTGTATATGCTAGAAAGGACATTGGTCCTTTTTTGGTGTTTCTGTTGTGTTTATTTTATTCATTAGATTCCACATATAAGTGAAATCATGATGGAAATTTTAACTTGGGAGTTTCTTCAGTTTGATTTCTTTTATCCCCTGAAGAACTTTGGATCCCTCGTCTTTCTGGTCCTTATGAAGATATGATGATGAGTTTCAGAGTTTTACTTTAGCTTTGGCCTGGCAGCTCCCTAATTCCCTGTTTCTGGGAATTTCTCCTGGGCTCCATGCTGTGTAGCCCCAGGCAAGATAAACCATATGTGCATATCTCTCGGGGAGGGGTGTGTGTGTGTGTGTGTGTGTGTGTGTGGAGAGAGAGAAAGAGATAGATAGATGGAAAGAGAGAGAGAGAGAGAGAGAGAGAGAGAGAGAGAGAGAGAGAGAGGGAGAGAGAGGAAGAGGAGGAGGAAAGAGGAAGGTAAGAGAGGAGAGAAGAGCACATTGGTCTTGAATTCAAATACCTGAACCTCCACTTAGAGCTGTGTGACATTAGGCAAACCCCTTAACCTCTATGGGTTTCATTTATCTATAAATCAAGGAGAGGGATGCTGTGAGAACAAAAAAGATAAGTCATTGTGAAAGTGCTGGTATACAAGACTCTTCATAAATGATGGTTGAAGTGAAGGTTTTTGTTTCACATCTTAAAGGAGAGAATAACTGGGAGATTCAATGCAGAGCCTCGGCAGCGTCACAATGCCCTCCCCCTCCCCCCTTTCTCCAGCAGCTACAGCTCTTTCACACTGGAGTTTGCCGGCCCAGCTCAGAGCATGCTGCCATCTGCTGGGAGGAAGGGAGAGTGACACCAGAGCATTGACACCGGCCATGGTGAGGAACAGCCTGGGAAACGGGAAGCATGGGACCCAACTTCCCCTGGGCTGTGATCTTATCCTTTAAGACAGGTGCCCCTCTCACCCTGGCCAGCAGTTCGTCAGAAAAATAAGATTTCAATCAATCTTTCTTTTGAAAAGTGACAGGATATGATTTAGCCTTAAAAAGGAAGGAAATTTGCCCTCTTTCTCCAGCTGCCGGTAAGGTGCTGGGTTCTTCCGAGGAAGCTATGGCCGCGTTGGGGTGAGGCCCTCCGGAGACTAGTACCGCTCCCGGCAGCACTCGCCCAGCACTCACCCTCACCATGGCCGCAGTCTGGAAGCTCGCCTGCATCTACTCGGCCCTTATCCTGCACGACGGTGAGGTGACTGTGACGGAGGATAAGATCAATGCCCTCATTAAAGCCGCTGGTGTAAATGCTGAACCTTTCTGGCCAGGCTTGTTTGCAAAGGCTCTGGCCAATGTCAACATTGGGAGTCTCATCTGCAATGTAGGGGCTGGGGGACCCTGGTCCTGCCCCCTCCACCGCTGCTGCCCCAGCTGAGGAGAAGAAAGTGGGAGCAAAGAAAGAAGAATTTGAGGAGTCTGATGATGACATGGGCTTTGGTCTTTTTGACTAAACTAGCTCTTTTGTAACACATTCAATAAAAGCTGATCTCTGTTGCAAAAATAAAACAAACAAACAACAAAAACAAAAAAAAAGGAAGGAAATTCTACCCTGGCCCAAGCGGCTCAGTTAGTTGAGCATCGTCCCATGCACTGAAAGGTTGCCGGTTGGATTCCAAGTCAGGGCACATGCCAGTGTTGCTGGGCTCAATTCCAGGGAGGGGGCAGGCAGGAGGCAGCTGACAGCTGCTCAGCTCTCACATCAATGTTTCTTTCTCACTCTCCCTCTCCCATTCTCTCTAAAAACCAATAAAATTTTTTGTAATAAAAGTCAATTACAACATGGATGAACCTCAAGGACATTGTGTTAAGTGAAATAAGCAGCTAGTCACACACACACACACACACACACACACACACACACGACAAATAAGGACAATTCCACTTTCATGAGGTAACTGAAGTAGTCAAATTCACAGAAACAGAAAGTAGAATGGAGGTGGCCAGGGGGTGGGGGTAGGGAGAAACAGGGAGTAGTTTAATGGATGTAGAATTCCAGGTTTGCAAGATGAGAAGTTCTGGAGATTGGTTGCACAATAATGTGAATATGCCTTACATTGTTAAACTGTACGGTTAAAATGGTAACTTTTATATTATGTATATTTTACCACAATAAAAAAACAACACATCAATAAGCGATAGGGATGAGCACATGGTTGGTGCTTGACTTCATGACAGAATCCTGGTAAATATTTACTGAATGAAGAAGAAAGGAAGTGATGCTGACAGATGGCCACAGACAACAGGGAGAACATGAGAATGGACACCTTTCCTTTCCCAGGAAAGCCTTCCAAGCAAAAGCCATTAGTCACAACGACCTTGTGGTGATAAACCAGTCTCTTTCCTATTCTCACCTCTAAACTAAAAAAAAACTATTTTTTTTTATTTCATCTGATAACAGCATGGCACCAAATCCAGCCTGAGCCAGAATGTTCTATTGATTCCAAGGTTGCAAGTTCCCAGATCACAGAACTTCAGAACTGTAGGGGCTCTGAGCAGCTGGTGAGATCTGAGGTGTATATCCTGCTTAATAAGAATTTTATGAATATGTAAGATATTTAATTTAAAAAAATTTTTAAATATATATTTTTATTGACTTCAGAGAGGAAGGGAGAGGGAGAGAAACATCAATGATGAGAGAATCATTGATCGGCTGCCTCCTGCATGCCCCCCAGAGGATCGAGCCCGCAACTGGTTCATAGGTCGACGCTCAACCACTAAGCCACGCCAGCCGGGCTGTATATATAAGACATTTTAAATAATCACCGCAAAAGCCACAGCTGGAAAGAGATGAATCCAAGGCCTGACCTTTTACCTTCAGAACCCCCGCCCCCCCCCCCACACACACACACACTTCCCATTCTTCCACTCCCACAGCAGCAGGCAGAGCGTGGCAGCTTCCTCCCCTCAGCTGCTAGTGGACAAGGTCACTGCTCTGCAAGAGGAGTTTCTCCTTGTGGTCAGTGACCTTTGAGGCCCATCAGCCATAAGATAAGAGGGCAGTTGAGTCTGTTCACAACCGGGCTCAGCCCTGAGGCAGGTGTCAGATCCTCCAGGGGAAGTAAGGCAGAGTACAAAGAGAGCAGGAGCCCCGAAGGCACCCCAGCTGGCTCTGCTACTGCCTGGGTATCGCCTGGAGGCCCTGAGGGGGCCCTGAAGTTCAGCCTTTGAGCAGCCCTGTCTCCCTCCAACTTCCCCACCTGATTGCCTGACTGTCCAGTCCCACCCAGAGGTAGAGCCAGAGGGACACAGAATACCAGACTGTAGCGGACGCGTAGTGACAGTGCAGGGAGAATTCACCCCAAGGGGATCTAGTTTATTGACCCACAACCCCTAGGATTCCTGGGCTTGGAGTGCTTCCTGGACTGCCCCTGAGCACGTCTAACCCAGAGGGGAGCTCATGAGTGGAAGCCCAAGTCTAGGGAAGGGAAGGGGAGAAGGGATGTGCAAAGAGCCAGGAACTGAATCTGAAACATTACATCACACCTATCCACACCTGCTAGGCAGTTTGAATAACCAGTTGCTTTAGATGTCTGGGAGTGGGTCTGTTTCCATGTGTCAAGAACACCGTATCTTCTCCCAACGCCTTGCAAAGGAGATTCCTTCCCCCTCATCCCCAGGGGTGGGGCGAGATAAGAGAAGTCAGCAGCTTCCCCCACCCACCCTGTCAAACCTGCAGGGTTTCTCACTTTGGGGAACCCTTGCAGTGGCTCAGGGGTCTGAACAGCACCATTCTGGCTCATCACAGAAGCATAAGGTTCACCAGGGGCTGCTGGCCTTTATCTGAGGGCTCTAGAGCAGCCCCCTCATCTGGTGGGTTTGAAGAACTACCTTCTAGTTACACCAAATCCGACACACCCAGAGACTTGAGCAAGCTTCTGTTCCTCCTCTTTCGTGAGGGGCTCCAAATTTCAAGTGGATGGTATCTGAGCACCCACAGGCTGCCCAGGTCCTGTGGAGGTGGGTGGGATAGGATGGGGGGGGGCAAGAATTACATCCTCCAGAGACAAGTACAGACAGTGGACCCTTCCCAGGGGCAGAACCCCGTATTTTACAGGTCTCATGCTTCACCCATTAACATGCCACTGGGGAAAAGCAGGTGACCACGGAACTCTCATCCAAACTGGAACACTTAGGATAGCAAACGGGGGAGCCGTTCTTAATTTCCTGAGACACAGCACAAACCAAGACAGTCCCGGCACGCTGACAGATCATCTATTGCATCCGGAAATAAGCCACATAGGAGAAACCAGTCGTTACTGTTTCTTGCTCTTCCTTACATGATTACAACACCAAAGCGTGGTCTGCGCTCAAATCAGGACACCCAGCTGATAGCCCTTGTTACATGGGGACATCCCGGACCTCAGGCGGGAACATATTTTTCAGTTAATTATTTGGAAGCCACTCCTAGGAGGTGCAGCAGCTGGGAGTACTTCCTCATATGCCCAGAAACTTGGGTGCATGTCCGAGTACAAGCCAGCATTTCTGTAATTCAACACTTGGCCTGCAGGTGGCAACATCTCTTCAGCAATGACCAACCACAAGCAATGCTGCAGGAAACATTTAATGGGCCAAGGAATAAGGGGTTTTGTTTAAAAAAAAAAAAAAAATCAATATATTTCCAGTAAGCAATTTCCACCTTTGCATATTTTCATATAGTATTTTGCTCTTTTTCTATTTACAGTGCTAGGTACATAGTGACTTTTTAACAAATAAATACTTACGAATTGACCAGTTGGTTCACGAGAACCAAGGTTTGCCTGAGGCACGGTTAAGTACAGGATGAAACAGAAGGAAAGAAACTAGGGATTGCTGAATGTGCATGGAAAAACATTTTCCTTTCTGGTTAATAATTTGCCTGGAGGGACAGGGGGAAATCATTTGAAAGTTTCCAAAAGATCTTTCTCCAAGAGCAAATCATTATTAATCTAATTCTTTAAAAACAAAGAAACAAAAAAAACAAAACAGTAATCTTGCTTTATCAACCTTCCCCCTCATTTCAAAGTCCATCCTACATACATAATAGATAAGTTATTTGCAGGTTTATGCAGCTTTCTACATGTTTAAAGATTTTACATTTAGACTCCGATTTATTTAGATGCATTGATTCTGAAGCCTCCCCCCTAAACTCCGAAGAGACTGGCTGAAGCCATCAAAGTCCACCCGCCCCTGAGGAGGGACCACTGAGGTTAGTTTCACCAGGCAGGTCTGAGCACAGAGCAGTGGACAGGAGCCAGCAACACTCCTCTTCCCCAGGGACCTGCGCCTCACGGGACTTCCCCTGCAGCCATCTGTCTATCTCTCAGACTGGGCTCCTCACTCGGTTTTCCAAGAGGCAGAGAATCAGCACCTTTCATACCACCAGTGTCCCTGAGCACCCCGATCCCACAGAGACCCCTTTCTGGAGAGACCAACAGACTCAGGAAGCTTTGGAGGGTGGCCTAGAGGGAGAAGAGCTGGGTAGACTGTCCATGGGTGAGGGACACACACAGCCTCAGCCTCATGGAGGGTAGTGGTTTTCCACAGAAGCTGCGATGGATGTTTCAGCTTCACCCCTGATGACTCAGGGCCAACCAATGGCTACTGGCCATTTCACAGGCCCAGGCCCCCATCTTCCAGGGTTCATGGTCACACTGCTTCACCGGGTAAAGCCTCTGCAGGGAGAGGTGGAGTAAGGCCACCAAAGCAGGGTCAGCTGGAGGGAGTGGTCTGTGACCCCACGGACCAGCAGGGCCGCCGTAGCCAGAGGGAGCTGCCTCCCTGTTCAATCAAGAGAAGATAGTGAAGGAGCCAGGGCCGCCTTCATCCACTCCCTGACTTGCCCTGCATCCTCTGGGAGAGTTCTCAGTGTCCCTGCTGCCCCAGCTCCCAGCCAGGGCCCAGAGCCCTACGTACCTAAGCAGGCGGGATGCAGGGGGGAGGTGAGGGGTGCATTACCCTCATGGGTCTGAGGCTGTAGATGGGTGAGCTTGCCTGAGGAGAGGAGTGAGCGGGTGATCCCACAGCCAGGGCCCAACCTCAGGAAAGGTGACACTGTGGGGTGGAGTGTGCCATGCACCCAGAGCTGCTGCACTAGGTCTTTCTTCCTGCCTCACAATGTGGTCAACGCTAGGGCCCTCGACTGAGGGATGTCTGTGGGTCGCTGAAGCAGAGAGAGTTAGGAAGCCCCCCGGGAAGCAAAGGTCAAGGTGGGGAGGGGAGGCCTTCACACACCAGGACCGGCAGGTGGCGAGTCGCAGAGAGGTAGAGTGGGCACGACAGAGAGCTGTGGGCCTGCCCACCTCACTCCCCAACCGAGAAAACAGCCTCCACATGCAACCAGGCCTCTTTCTGGCCTCATCCTGACAACCGGGCATCACCCAGCTGGGGCCTGCACAGGCCTGGCATAGACCCAAGGGCAGGGTCTGGGGTAGGGAGGGTAAGGGAGGTGGCATCCCTGTCCTCTGAGGGTGAGGTGCAGGCCCGGAGGAGAGCTGAGAGAAGCCAGGTAGTCAGCCTCCCCCTGCAGTCTTCCCAGCCCCACCCAGGAAAGACCCGGGAGGCGGGGAGGAAAGCCATCACTTTCCACCCCGAGGAGGAGGAAGCGCTGAGGATGGTCCGGGCTGCGTCACCATGATGTGGTAGATGGATTCCCGGAAGCGCTGGTCTCGGCTCAGCCGCTTGGCCACCTCCTTCAGCTCCTCTATGTTGTTGGCTTCCAGCTGGGAGGTCATGAAGGACTGGGACGGCTTCACTGGGGAGACGATGGCCCAACGCTGGTGAAGTCCTTCCTCCACAAGGCGTGGCCCTGCCCCCAATCCCAGCCCACAGCCCCTTCTCACCCACGGGCTCCCCTAACCCTGGGAAAAGCCCAAGGCTGGTGGGCTGGCTCAAGGCCACACTGTCCGGCCTCAGAGCTGGGCCAACCCTCCCACCCTGCCCTCTTCCCTCGTGTCACTGCGGCCTGTGACCATCCCACCCCACGGGGCACAGACGCCCACACTCACTGTCATTCCAGGTGGTGCTGGACCGGCGCCGGTGGAAACGGCAGCTCTTGATGCGGCGCGTGGCCGCCTTGTGGATGTACACGGAGTTCTTCATGATGACCGGCATCTTGGCCTCCAGCTCGGCGTTCCGGATGCACTCCTCGAAGAACCCTACGCCCGAGTTCACTGTGTTTCCCCTCCCGCCGGCCTGCCCCGCCTCGCCCCGCCCCGCCCAGGATCCAGGTGCCAGGAATCAAGAAACCCTTAGAGCCCATCCTTTGGGAGACCAGAGCCACCTGCTGGAGGGGGCAGACCTGCAGGCCTTCTCCCCTGCCCCCTCCCCAGGTCCAACAGCTGAAAGGAAGCAGTATCAAGAAGATGCTGGCAGGCAGGAACCTGGAGACACTCCATCAACATCTAGACCCGTGGTCGGCAAACTGCGGCTCGCAAGCCACATGCAGCTCTTTGGCCCCTTGAGTGTGGCTCTTCCTAAGCCTTAGGAGTACCCTAATTAAGTTAATAACAATGTACCTACCTATACAGTTTGTTTAAAAAATTTGGCTCTCAAATGAAATTTCAATCGTACTGTTGATATTTGGCTCTGTTGACTAGTGAGTTTGCCGACCACTGATAGACCATCGAATGCACACCAGGCCCTGTGTGGGGCCCTAGCCCTTGTCCAGGCTCCACAGGCTGAGGGGCTGGGCACCGAGGGCAGAGCTTACTTTTCAGATGGCTCACGTCGGCCCGCATCCTCTCCTCCTTCTCCTTGTTCCGCACCCTGGAGTTGAGTCCTTGTTCCAGGCTCCTCAAGGCCGCCTCGGCCTCCCGCAGACGTCTCTCCAGGTCCATACGGACCTTCACCTCGGCCTGAAGGGAGAGGGAAGGAGAGATGTGGGGTTCTGGGGGGCAGTTGCCATCTCCCCTGGAAGCCTTGCCTGATCACCCCTGACTCGAGTGGGCTTTCTCGCCTTTGGACGTGGGTGGAAGTTACTACCTCCTGCCTCCTGTCTTACACCCTTGCCCAGACGGCCTGCACTTGACCCCACACCCAGCAATGGTGCCCCACAGAAGTGGCAGGCCCACTGCTTCCTCTCGTGGCTCCATTCCCTGGAGTGGGCAGGGATGATTCAGGTAGTTGCTGGTGAAGTGCAGGGACGTGACTGGAGTCCCCAGGTGAGGGAAGCACCTTGAGCTCCTGCTCGGCCTGCTGCTTCTGTGCTGTCAGCTCCTGCAGCGAGTTCTGCAGCGCCTGGGACTGGCTGGAGTAGAACTCACGCTCCTCCTCCAGGGCCCGTGAACGCTCCTCGTTCTCCTTCATCCTGCCCGGGAAAGGCACTCAGTCAGGGCTCACTCACCAAAGGGGGTTTCCGCTGGGAGGACAGCCCCTCAGAGAGAACTGGCTGAAGAAATCTGAGGCCCAGGCTGCAGGAGCCCCCAAATATTCTGGGTGCTGTCACCCAGGTGATGAGGGGAGCAGTGTGGTCAGGTGAGGGGAGTCCGTCTTACAGTCAGAAAACCTGAGTCCTGGGTCCAGGTCTTTTTTTTTTTTTTTTTTTTTTTTAAATATATTTTATTGATTTTTTACAGAGAGGAAGGGAGAGAGATAGAGAGTTAGAAACATCGATGAGAGAGAAACATCGATCAGCTGCCTCCTGCACATCTCCTACTGGGGATATGCCCGCAACCCAGGTACATGCCCTTGACCGGAATCGAACCTGGGACCTTTCAGTCCGCAGGCCGACGCTCTATCCACTGAGCCAAACCGGTTTCGGCCTGGGTCCAGGTCTTGCTGGTTCTGTGACCTCAGGAAAGTCCTAGAACTCTCAAGGCTCAGTGTCCTCGTCTGTAAAAGGGATCTAAGAGGACCTTCCCAGCAGGCCACAAAGCACTGTTATACGGACCTAGTGACTGTATAGCTCACACCTTTGCAAGAGATAATGATCCAGTCAGTTCTGGGTAGTGAAGGTTCTCTTCCCATTTGCCTGGTGGGAAAACTGAGTCCTGGGCAGAAGGGAGTGAGTGACCTATCTGGGCAATGGCAACTAGAACCCGAAAGTCCAGGTGTCCAGTTCAAGGAAATTACCGATCCCCGAAGCCCATCATGGACCCATGGTCCAGGGCTCCTCACCGCTTCTCTGCCAGGAGCTTCTCTTCCCAGAGCTGCTGCATCTTCCCCTCGATCTGCCTCAGGTTGCTATGGAGACCCCCACTGGGAGAGGGCTGCTCGCTCTGATTGGCCAGTGTCTCCAGTTGGTTCTCATTCTCCTCCAGCATTTCCAGGGTTTTCTTCTTCTCTATGGAGAGCTCCTGGCATGGAGGGATGGGGAGAAGGGAGAGAAGGAAGAGAAAGAGCCTAATTTAGGTTCCCCACCATGGTTTCCCTCACCTGCCTTCCAATTCCAGGGAGTGGTGCCCTCCACGCTCAGTCCTGTCTGAGGGACACCTGGAATGTCTCCATTCTTCCCTTGAGGTAAAAGGCCAACCAAGCTCTCCTTCCTCACAACATGGCAAGGTTACCCCTCCATCGAGGGAGTCAGAGAGGAGCCCAATGAGGCTTCCAGGGGAAGTGACCCAACTATAACCAGGGGGCACCAAGACCCAAGGGCACCGTGACCCTCTGGGGTTCTTGTTCCTCCAGCAGCAAGTGAAGGAATGTGTTGGGGTCACGTGAAAAACACCCAACAGGACCAGACTAAGAGCTGGCTTATGTTCTCCCCATTTATCAGACTGGGATCTTGCACACCCTGGAAATTCTGGAGTTGAAACCATTCAAGGGAACCACCTGCTATGATATGAAATGGAGAAAGATAAACAAATAAAGGCACCACAAACGAAGCCCCAGTCAGCGGAGAGAGAAGAGAAACCCTTGCAGTCTGCCAGGCAGTTCATTAATTCAGTAAACGTTAAGATCCCCCTGACATGCCAAGCTCACTTGAAGTGCTGGGCTTGCAAAGACCTTAAGACACTGCCTAGTGAAGCTCACAGTTTAGAAAACACAGCCTCGTGTGTTCAGTGCCATAACAAAGTGCTGTGGGAGCCCAGAGCTCAGAGCAAATTCCTGCTACGCAGAGGCAGGGAAGCTTGACCAGCGTGATGTCCAAGCCTGTCTGCACCTGAGAAGGATGAAAGGGTTCTCCAGGCAAAAAAGAGGTGAAAGGACATTGTGTAGAAGAGACCGTATGGGCGAAGGTGTGGAGGATGAGAGCACTTGGTTTGGGGGGGAGGGGTGCATAGGAATAGGGGGCGGTGTCTGCTCTGGGTGTGGAAGGGCAGCAGAGGGCAACAGTGGAGGAGAGCCTTGGGCCAGAGTTTGCACTTGCATGCCATCCTGGAGAGTTGGCTCTTTGTCCTTGACACATGCCACCTCCCCCCCAGTTTCTGTGGTATCAAATGGAGGTGACCTGGCAGCAGATTTCCCTTCCTGCTCAATTTCACCCGGATCAGCTCAATGAATGAGCCACAAGAAGGAAGTGGTGGGCGGCCCGCCTCCCATCCTGATCAATCCTCCATCTGTAAAAGAATGTAAGCGCTGAAGAAGGTGGATTTCGTGAGGCCATGGTCATAGCAAGGGCAGACTTGAGTCGGCTAGAGTTCCCAAACGCCCACAGAGAAGAGTCTCTTAGGTCAGTGCCCTTTGGCGCCCTGTTACCCTTGCAGATGACTCGGTAACTAGGTAAACAGTTAGAAAAAAACAGTATCCCGTGGCCACACCAACCAGCCCGCCAGCAGCCCCTCACCTCCAGCGTCTGCTGCAAGGACTCTGTGAAGTGCCTCAGCTCCTTCTTCTCTTGCTCCACACCCTTGAGGCATCTTGCAGTCAGTTCTAGCTCCCTGTGGGGACACAGGGTATGAGTATGGCCGCGTTTACCCCTCCTAGTCCCCTTTGTACCTAGAATAGCTTGTTTCACCTCCCAATAAGGCTCAGTGGGGTCCTGGGAAGGCCAGCCCCTCCGCATGGCTGGGTCCTGCCAGCAGATGTAGGGACCCCGGGCTGAAAGGAGATCCCCGCCAAGTGGGGTTGAAGTCACTTGCTCTCGATACTCATGCATTTGTCAGTGGGGTAAACCCAGGGGCACCCACAGGCAGAGAAGCACTGGGGGAACACAGGGGTCTCACCCCGTCGTCCCTGCTAGAACCCACACACTGACATGGGACGTGGCAGAGGCCTTTCTCTGGGGTGACAAACTCTTGCTGCTTTCTTAGGGAACCTGGGCCACCTCAGGCCTTTACACCTGGTCTCCCCTCCTCCTGCTTGGAATGCCTTTCCCTTTCTCCTGCCCAATTTTCCAAATCCATCGTCAAGGCCCAGCTCAGTCCAATCTCCGTTCAAGCCCATCAGGATTATGCATATATCTTAGTTCCTGGAACAGAGGGCTGCCCCGTGCCTCCGAGCACTTGGTTATATATTATTGTGCTGATGTTTCCTGGGTGTCAGTCTGGTTTCCCCCACCACATCTTCAGACTAGTCTTCTATTCCAGGGTCTGGCACGATTCTGAAAGTGAGCAGGTGTTTGGCTATTGACTTGGTAAGATTCTCTGAGCTTCTCCCTCCCTCAGTTTTATGCCAAATGACTTCCTTTGTAAGATTGTTGCAAGGAAAGTCTTTCTGGGCTATCACTAATGATTGATAATGATGAGGATAATCATACCACCATCACCGTCCCCAGAGCAGGGGTCCCCACATTCCTGAATAGGCTGCATCAGAATGACCTGGGGGCTTCTTAAAAATATAGATACCTGGGCTCTACCTTTAGGAGACTCTAATTCTGTTAAATGATCATAATGTGCAACTGGTTTTTACACCATGCGCAGGACTAAAGATCCCAAGGGATATCACTGGCCAGAATGTGAAGGGATTGCGCAAGAGAGACAGGGAATGTTGGGGATCTTGGCTAATGGCACCTGCAGACCAGCTTGTCCTGTCTGCCCCGGGAAAGGAAGGGTTGACAGCGGCAGGAGGGCTTGTTGCTTGGGGGAGGCCTGTCTGCACCTGCCCCAGGGCTCATGCCTCAGTGGGCAGAAGTGGCCCATTTGTGTGGGAACTACAGCTTTTTCTGGGCACACCCGAGGCCTGGAGCATTGGGAAGATAGACCAAACCAAGTCATCAAGTAGAGAGGACCTCCTGGACGGGGGCCTCCCCAGGGCTGACTAGGAGCACGGTTCCTGATGCCATACTAGCCCAGATGCACCGCCCGCCCTCCCGCGGCACCACCACCACCTCTTGATCTGCTCCTGCTCCATTCTCAGCTCCTGCACCACCTCCTCAAACTGCTGCTTCTCAGCCTCCAGCACCTGGTTAAGGCGCTCGAGCTCCTGAAGAGAATAGAGAGAAGCAAGAGTCACGGGCAGCAAAGGGAACCCCCACTCTAACCCAGGGGACCCTCTGGGATTCAGCACAGCCTGGGGCATGCACTGGACCAAACGTGAAATTGAGTCCTGCTGAGCCCTGGTCCCCTCAATGGCAGTCTCCAAACCAAAACCTGTGATGACCTGGGCTCACTCAGCAAGCTGAAGGCAGGGTTTAGAAATGATCCCAGCATTACTTCCTGTGACTGGACACGATGATAATTCTAGATGTCACTCACACCCTAAGGCACAATGTCTGGCCCTCAAACCCCGGAGGACAGAGTGGGGAGTATGCATTTCCATTAAAGATCCCTGAAATGACATCAATTAGAAGTGGCAAAGAGAAGCCATTCCCACCCCAAAAGTCAGAGACTAAGAATTATTTTTTCTCACAGCATCTTCGAAGCAATGAGCACAGGTGGCTGCAGCCTCCCCTCTACTCAGCTCCAAGGGAACAGAAGAGCCAGAAGCCCAGGACACTCTGGCCCCAGGGGCCCAACCAGTCCCTCCAGGAATGCTGGCGCAAGCGCAAGGGTGTTTCCATCAAGCATGTGGCCTCAGGGCTCCTGTTTCCTGACTTCCGATGGCAGGGGGTGGTAGGGGTACACTTCAAGTGAAGCTTGGCCAGAAAGAAGCCCATTTGTGATGACTGCTTTGCTCCTCCACATTTCACACTGGAAGGATATTACTTCAAATCCACTTCCTTTCTCTTCTAGCTCCAAATGATGCTCTCATTTTTCACCCAGCGGCTTTGTTCTCAAGGATCATGGAAACCCCACCAAGGAGTGGGGCTGGCTGGCGGGAGAAGTTGCCATTGGCTTTGAGAGATACAGAGAAAGAATAAAACCTAAAGGAAAGGGAAGATCTGATTCCAAACCTCAAGCCCTCCTTTCCTAACCTTCTTACCCTAAGAAGTTTTTCTTTCTGATCATTATTGTCTCTCTTGGTGTGGCTCACCGATGGTCACTGAGGGCTGCTCCCTGGCATTCTGATGCCCCTCTGGGCACACCGCACAGCCACAGTGTGCCTGCAAAAGCTGGCGGGCCCATGGGACTGGCTAAAGCCAATGGAATGTGAGCAGAAGTATGTCCCTTCCAGGCAGATGCCTTTAAGAGACAGGGCCTGACACACTATGTTCCCTTTCCTCTTCCATGGTAGCCACTGTTGCTGCAAACGATGGAGGCTTGATTAGCCTGGATCCCTGAGAGGAGATGTGGAGCAGAGCCCCCAGCTGACCCAGGTAGCTGAGTGAGAAATAGATGGTCACTGTTCAAAGCCACTAATATTTTGGAGATTTGTGTCATTGCAGTAGACATAGCCATATATAGACATAATATAAATATAATTAAATTTTTATGCTTGTAAATGCCCCCCCTTTTTAAAAATATATTTTATTTATTTTTTACAGAGAGGAAGGGAGAGGGATAGAGAGTTAGAAACATCGATGAGAGAGAAACATCGATCAGCTGCCTCCTGCACACCCCCTACTGGGGATGTGCCCGCAACCAAGGTACATGCCCTTGACCGGAATCGAACCTGGGACCCTTCAGTCCGCAGGCCGACGCTCTATCCACTGAGCCAAACAGGTTAGGGCACCCCCCTTTTAATGAAAGAAAAGTTCAGAGTTTCAAAAAGTTTGAAAAAACCTCTATTTTTGATACATTCTCAGTAGCTGACACTTGGTATTACTAGTGATGATAAACCTCTCTGTGGCCTCTGCCTGCTGTGGGAGGGCTGTTCAGGGGGCCAGGGAAGTTATAGGCTGCAAGCATCCCTGAGTTTAGACCTGAAAAAACACCAGGGAAGCTAGCTGGCCTTATAGGCACCCGGCTCTTGTAGGCGCCTGGCTTCTGATGGTGCAGAAGGGGTCACCCAGGACCCAGCCGGAGGATGCCACCCACACCCTTGGCTTCTTCTCCCCGGAGAGCCCCTTTCTCCAGGGCTCTGGATACAAATATTTCCCGGTCCTTACCATGACATTGGGATATCTTTTTATATACAGATATATTTTTGTTGATTTCAGAGGGGACAGGAGAGTGATGGAGATAGAAACATCAATGATGAGAGAGAATCATTGGTCAGCTGCCTCCTGCACGGCCCCTACTAGAGATCAAGACCAAAACCCGGGCATGTGCCCTTGACAGGAATTGAACCTGGGATGCTTCAGTCCACAGGCCAATGCTCTATCTACTGAGCCAAACCAGCCGGGGCGGGGATATCTTTTGTAATTGAAAATGGGAGAAAGTAAATTATTAAAATGCCATGAAAATGTCCATACACTGCTAATAAGAGTGTACTGGTAAATAGGTACAAAGTTTCTGAAAAGCAATTTGGCAATAGGCATCAGGAGTCTTTTTTCCCCTAAGGGAATGTGTTTCCAGGAAACGAGCTCATCTAATCAGGAGTCTTAAAGGTTTTTGCCCTTTGCATCAGTAATTCTACCTACAAGAGTCTATCCTAAAGATATTAGCCCAGCCTGTGTGGCTCAGTGGTTGAGTACTGACATATGAACTAGGAGGTCACAGTTCGATTCCTGGTCAGGGCACATGCCCGGGTTGCAGGCTCAATCCCCAGAGTGGGGCATGCAGAAGGCAGCTGATCAATAATAATCGCTTATCATTGATGTTTCTACCTCTCTCTCCCTCTCCTTTCCTCTCTGAAGTCAATAAAAATAAATTTTTTTTAAAAAAAGAAATAATTAGAGGCCCTGGCTGGGTAGCTCAGTTGGTGAGAGAGTTGTCCCAATACAACAAGGTTGCAGGTTTGATCCCCAGTCAGGGCACATGCAAAAATCAACCAATGAATTTATAAATAAGTGAAACACCAAATCAATGTTTCTTTCTCTCTCTCATCAATAAATAAAAATAATTTTAAAAGAAATAATTATAAAAGTAGATCAGGATTGATGTATAAGGATGTTCACTGTGGTGTAATTTATAATAGTGACAACAGCCGAGATATCCAAAAATAGAAGATTAATTAAATGAAACATTACATATTAACGAATCAGTACATGGTCACTACAACAGATGTTTTCAAAGAATGATGAATGACATGAAAAATTGCTGGATATACAATGTTAATAAAGGTATAATGAAAAAGCAGGCCATAAAACGAAATATCTGATATGACCCTATTAAGCTTAAGATATATATCTACACTAATAAGAGACAAAGATGCTAATTGACTGTACCTTCGCTATGCCCAAGCCACGCCCACCATCCAATCAGAGTGACTATATGCAAATTAACCCAACCAAGATGGTGGCAGGCAGCCACAGAGCTGGAGCAAACAGGAGGCTTCATTGCCCCGGCGATGAAGGAAGCCAAGCTTCCCGCCTGCTCTGGCTGGCTGTGGCCTCTGCAAAAGGCAACAAAGTTTCAATTATAGAAGCTAAATAAATCCCAGATACCTGCTTCCAGCCAGCCTCCACTGGGAGCTTGGGTGGCTGGGGGCCGTGGCCAGCCTGCAAACAGCCATCAACCCCTCACCCAGGATGGCCACACCTTCATGGGGTGAGGGTCCCTGCTGGGGGGATTGTCCAGCCTGCAAACAGTCATCAGCCCTTCACCCAGATTGGCCAGGGACCCCAGCAGCACCCTCCACCCTGAAGGGGGTGTGGCCAGCCTGCAAACAGCCATCAGCCCCTCACCCAGGCTGGCCACACCCTCATGGGGTAAGGGTCCCTGCTGGGGGGCTTGGCCAGCCTGCAAACAGCCATCCTGGGCTGGTCAGGCACCCCAGCAGGGACCCCCACCCTGATCCGGGACACCCTTCAGGGCAAACCAGCTGGCCCCCACCCATGCACCAGGCCTCTATCCTATATCATAAAAGGGTAATATGCAAATTGACCCTAACAGCAGAGCAACTGGGAATCACTGATCACTATGACACATACTGACCACCAGGGGGCAGACATTCAATGCAGGAGCTGCCCCCTGGTGGTCAGTGTGCTCCCACAGGGGGAGCTCTGCTCAGCCACAAGCCAGGCTGACAACTACCAGTACAGCGGTGGTGGTGGGAGCCTCTCCCGCCTCCTCAGCAGTGCTAAGGATGTCCGACTGCAGCTAGGCCTGCTCCCCACTGACAAGTGGACATCCCCCGAGGGCTCCTGGGCTGCCAGAGGGATGTCTGACTGCCAGCTTAGGCCCAATCCCCCGGGGAGTGGGCCTAAGCCAGCAGGTGGTCATTCCCCGAGGGGTCCCAGACTGCAAGAGGGCACAGGCCGGGCTGAGGGACCCTCCCAAGTGCACAAATTTTTGTGCACCGGGCCTCTATTGTGTGTATATATATACATACACACACACACTACATTTTTAAAAGACTGAAAAGAAACAGAGAGAAGTTGACAGTAGCTGTCTGTCAATGGTGAGATTAAGGATAAGTTTGTTTTCCACAGAGAGCATGATTTCTACCATTAGTAAAAGGTTATGTATTAACGAGGAAAAAGAAAGACACTCTCTGTCCCGGCTGCTCACTTCTTTTCCACCTTTCATTTCACCTGTACGGCTCCTAAATGAAGCTGATGCCCAGGTGCAGCCCGAGAATGCTGATTAGAGTGAAACCCCCAACCTATAAACTCGGAGTATCCAGAACCTTCTGTTCCTGCAGCCCAGGATGGCATGAGTGTTTGTAGCAACCTTGCCACAGCTGAGGTCAGCCAAGACCTGCTTCAGCGAAAGCCTTTCTCCATCATACAGTGTTTGTTCTGACCCTTGGCCCTGACTTAAGTTGCAGGAGTATAAGGTTGGAAAGAAGTCACTGGATGGCAAATCCCAGCTCAATGAAAGAAAGAACTTTCAAGTAATGGAGCCATAATGCAAAGGTAACAGTCACAAGATCAGGATCAATATCCATCAGGAAGGTCAGCAAAGAGCCTCTCCTTGAAGTGGGAGGTATTTTCTGACTCTAAGAGACTGTTCTGACTGGAGCACCCCAGGTAGCGAGAACCCTGCCTGACTGCCCCT